AATCTGAATGTTCCATTTAATGCAACTCTTCATTTGTGGTGAAATTACCAACGACCCAACTATAAATTTTCCAATACAGATTCAGTAGACTGAAGAAAATGGCCCCGTATCTCCAAAATCAAATCGATCAACTTTAGATCGCCAGTCCATTACCTCCTCTTTACTGGTATCACTTGGATCGGTGCATAAGAACTCTAGCGCGACGTTAGTTTTTTTACATTAAGTCGGGTTCAGCTGTTCGAGTTTGACGCCCGTCCAGGTAGACAACCCGTAGTAAACACTTCAAACAGTTTTTTTTTGCACCGTCGCAATGTATTTATCACCTTCCAATAATCCCAATATCAAATCAGTTACCTATTTTTCGTTGTTTCCTATGCAGCGCTCTTCGTTAAGTCATTGCCTTCGTGCACTGTAACGAACTTTCAGTGCTGCTTAGTTTTCAATATTCACAACGAAATAAATAGGCCCTCACACCGCGAACGTGGCATTAGTTATCAACTACTGTTACGTAGATACAGCTAATGTCTAGAATAGAGCATTTATGAGGCCGGGGCCTGCTCTGACCGGGCGAAGTAGTGCTTACTTATGCCGGTNTAGATACATATAGTTGCGCTAGTATATGTAACTCTAAGTTCTCTGCTCTTGCAGTCCAGTGTCTGTATACTTTTGTGCTTGCAGCCTAGCTTCGCTGTAATCAATTGCACTTGCAAATTTCGCTACAGCTTTGTAATCATAAATTGATCACTTGATCGTATAAATTCGTGACCTTCATGATACATCATTTGATTTTATCATTCTATTGTATATTATTCTGCTCTGTACAAATCTTATTGGTTAAAATATTTTTAGTGTTATTACACTAGCGTTCTTTACTATACAGTCCACTATCCAATTCATCCTTCCAACACTNATTATGAATAGTGAAATGGTCGTTCTGCCAGGCGACCGCGGTGGCGGGTGCTCGGCACCGCACGCCAACCGCTACAACGGCTTTCTGGCCGTGTTGCCACCCCCAAAGCGCCACACGACAGCAATAGTACAGCGTGCTAGGCCAGCGGGCGGCTATTTACGTATTTGCTTCTGTTAAATTTATAGAGCTGACTGCTGAACCCAACACAGCCAGCCCGTGTCATTGAAGTAATTTTGGCACCGCTCGACAAACCAAAGGGCTGCGGATGCATTCTACCCAGACAAGCCCGAAGGCCGCGGGTAGGAAATACACCACCGACAAGCCCGAGGGCCGCGGGTGATAGTAGCAATAATACCGTCGACCACGGTAGCGGGCGCCAAGCGCCACACGCAAGCACCGCGTCGACCCAGCGTCACAGACCTGTAGTAGGNTAGCGGGCGCCAAGCGCCACACGCAAGCACCGCGTCGACCCAGCGTCACAGACCTGTAGTAGGGAAGTCAATTGTAAACATGCCATGCACCACCATGCTTATATCTTTCATTGGCCCCTGCTGTCCAGTGTCTGTATACTTTTGTGCTTGCAGCCTAGCTTCGCTCTAA